GTTTAATTAATATTGATAAATTAAAAATCGAAAATAATGTATTATAATTCAAGAATTCTAATTAAGCACCTAACAAATTGAAAATGTTAAGGAAGATTTAACATTTTTTTTTAATCTATCGAAAACTCAACACATTCATAACTGCAACAACGTTCATTCACATCATTCAAAATCGAAACACTTTTGCTCATACATTCAAACACACACAAACATTTGCGAGCTCGCATGCATTCAAACCAAAACACACACTAACATGCAATATTCAGATTTTGGAAATATGAGAAATTTTCCAAAAACTGATAGAAAAACGATTTTGCTTAAGGGTGGCCAACCCTAATTATAGAATTTCCTGAACTATAATATTTTAAATATTAAAAAAGCAAAGAAGTGATATTGGAAAAAAACAGATTGTAATAATCCGCTGCGTTTAAACATTTGCTATTTTTGGGTAATTAAGTGATGATAAATATTTCAAAATAATAATAATTAAGTAATTACCATCCAGTCTATAATGAGTAAAATATTGAAGCTATTACAACTTCAATATAAATTATACATATGGAGAACCAAAATCAAATTAACAAAATTATTATAATTACGAAAACATAATCACATTCAAATTAACTTAAGTTAAATTGATTAAAATATAATCAATTAATTGTTGAATTAAAATTAAATTGAGATCTTCTACAAATCAATAGTAATTTAATGCAACCTAAACTAAAACATGTAAATAAAACGGAAATACGGACAAGAATAAAGGGAATCAATGAATTAATAATTTTGAATTGGCGCAATAATTTAAAAATATGAAAACCTGAAAAGAATTGAAAATAATTTAAGAAAAGGATGCAAAATTAATTAATAATTTTGAATAAGCGCAGTAATAATTGAAATTATAAAAACCTGAAAAGAATTTAAGAAAAGGAAGCAAAAGTAATTAAAAATTTTAAATAAACGCAGTAATAATTGAAATTATGAAAAATATTATTGGGCTAAAGGGGGAGGTCTTGTTTTGAATCCCGTGTGGTATAAAGTCACTTACTACTTGATGTCTTCATCACAATCTCTGCACATCTCCATCTCAGCCCTCGTTGTTGGTTGGCATCGAGAAAATTCACGATAATTTATCAAAAATACGCACAAAACTCCCGAAAATTTAACACTCCGGTGATTCTAATATTGATAAACTTATAGCAAATTATACCGGTTGAAGAACAAGAGCCGAAGCCTTAAACTTGTTTTCAAAATAACCCACAAACACTATAAATCAGAATGTAAGACTAAGAATCGGCTAATGGCCAAGACTTTCCTTAACGACACCTGTCGCGATACAAAGAATTGAAATTTCGGGGAAAACGCGAGCCCCTAGATCCGCTGTGATCTGTTGGTGGTTGTTCGCATATTTCGGATACGAGTAACCACCTTAACGGATGCACCTCGAGAAGGTTTTAGCACAGACGGTCTTGCCATTCCAGAGGCTATGTGTTTAAAACCACACGTGTGATTAACGCATAGAATGGCCTGGTATATAATACCTTGCATCCATATATAACAATTAGATATATAAGTACCGATGCTGCTGCAAAAAAAAACACAACTTGTTCAATTTTTAATTACGTAGTTATTAAATTACTCACGGTTTTCCGGTATTCACCTTAGTTTCTATAGATCTGTAGCTTTCCCTGACCATGTTTTTCAACGATAATCCACGAATTATCGCCAAATTTCCCTCGCTTGCATTTCGAGCGACTTGTCTTAACCAAGGGACGCGAACAACTGCGTCCAAGTGATGCCACCAAGCGCAGCCAACTTCGTCACAGTTTTTTTGCGTTAAAAACGGTTTTGATTATCTCCACATGCAACAATATGCACACAAAAAATGACAATGTAGAAAACATAGAAAACAAAATAGAGGGAAAACGTTTTGCATCGCCATTTTGTATGCGTCCTAATAGATAAATAATTCATGAAATAATTATTTATTTCTTTTTAATAATAGTGCTAATTATACGCGTTAATTAACAATAATTTATATGTAAAAAAGAGGCATTATAGCGAAATATTTTGGTTACAACTTGGATAAATTACTCACAGTTAATGATGAATTTCCAATTGGATTTTGTTCTCCGATGATAGAATATAGAAGAAACAAGAAAATTAACTTAGTTTGGGTGGTTTGTACAGCAATTTTGAATATGCAAAACTTTTGCGCACGCAAAGCAATGGACGCCGAACGACAAATGAACTCTCCCTCCAAAGCAAACCAAGTGCAGCCAACTTCGTCAAAGTTTTTTTTGCGTTAAAAACGGCGTTGTTTATCTCCAAATATAACAAAATGCACAAAAAAAAACAATGACAATGGTGAAAACAAAATAGAGGAAAAACGTCGCATCGCCATTTTGAATGCATACTAATAGATAAATAATTTATGAAATCATTCATTTTTTGTTTTAATAATGATGCGAATTATACGAGTTAATTAACAATAATGTAGATTTAAAAAATGAGGCTTTATAGAGAAATATTTTGGGTAAAAATTTGATGATTTACTCACCGTTCATGAAGAATTTCCAATTGGATTTTGTTCAACGACGATGGAATATACAAGATACAAGAAAATTAACTTAGTTTGGATGGTTTTCACAGCAATTTCGAATATGCGAAACTTTTGCGCACGCAAAGCAATGGCCGCCAAACGACAAATGAACTCTCCTTCCACTCGAAGACGCAGTAGAAGTGATACCAACTTATTTGTTTTAAAATTTAAATTTGAAACTGACTTATGTATTTATGTAATATCATAAAATTACATATACAAAATAGACTCTAAACTAATGGACAGAAAACTTGAACTTTGATCAATATGTGTTAAAATTGTTATGAATTTATTAATAGAATTATATTTGTTAAAATAAGTTTGAGAATATTCATTGTACCACCTTTTGAATATTATTATAATTTTCTAGAAAAAGTTCAGGAAAGGGATGATTTTGAGGGCAATAGAAGATGTTTATGTTGAATCCATATCATCCATATCAGTTGACGAAGTTGTCTTTGGTATAAAAATTGTTGTTTTGTCTATATGTTGAATATTTCTGATGTGGTTTAGGATTTAAGGACAGACTTTTCACATGCGTCCCCATTCCAAGGGCTTTTGCAATTGCATACACCACAATCGCAAGTGCCACGTCCTCCGCATATTTTACCATGGGATAATGGACAAGAGAAGTTATCGCACTCGCAGAATTTACCATAAATTGTATCCCTCTGGCACGAGCATTTACCGCAAATGCAGATGCCTCGTCCAGAACAGACTGAGGTATCCTCAGGATCCCTCTTGCAGCTCAACGTATTCATGAAATTGTACATATGTTCCGAAGAACATTCGCAGTGCTTTCCGAAATGATTACGGTTGCATTCGCAGATGCCGCATTTGTAGGTGCCGGCTCCCATGCATTCCTTCGCATTCTCCACGTAACCCTTCTGTTCGCATTGGCAGGAGCACAGCATCTCCAAGTCCATATACATTGTCTCGTTAACACCGATCGGGTAGATTTGCAACCTCTGCTTCCAATCTTCTGGATCCCTTGGGCATCGCGTCACTTCGACTTCGATCTTGAAACTGACAATATCTCCGACTTTCACGTTCTCGCATCTATCAGTCTTCTTGAATTCACCACTTGGATCCAAGCAATTCGAATAATAATTGATTGTAATACCATCGCTGGAGTTGTCTTTCAATTGAATGACAGCAGACATTTTGTTATATTCCTCCTTAACCATCTCCACGATATTGGATGAATCTGGAGTCAACATAACAGTATAAGATCCTTCGATTTTATCCTGCACTTTCTTGTAATTGCTCATCTGATCCGCAGTTACAGCAAACAATAAATTGATCGAGTTCTGTTTTACTTTCTCATTGATTCTTGCTACATTTACTGAGCCACCTCCCCAATTACACAGATCGTAATTAGCAAACTGTAATCAACAATATTATAATAGCAATTTTTTTCAAAAGAATTTTCTTTACCTTAATCTCATCTGATTGTAATTCCAAGTTAGAAGCGAAGATTAAAACGCGACGAGCATTCTCTCTCCAACTAATATATTGCTTGCAAACTATAGCCTGCATGATGGCTTGCAAACCAGCAGTGGAATTTACTGGTAAAACACCAGTTTTCAAGCTTCCTGAAGCATTGAAGTTATTTGTGACAGCCTTCTTCACCAGAGACTGCAAATTAACTATTAATAAACTGTATAGTTTAAGTATTTATACTCACTGAAAACTGATTTGTTTGGGTACTTAAGCTCATTGCATGCTGGAAAGTACGATCTGCAAAACTTCCGAATCCAAGTCTTAAGTTTGTAGTTATATTAGGCACAACTTTAGCGAGACTATCAGCTAGACGAGTTAACTTCTCGCTGTTTCCTTCCATAGATTTGGAGAAATCCATTAATAAGTATATATCAAGTGGAAATTCTTCCACTTGGATATACTGCGCGTGCATAGTATAACGTTCCCCTGAAAACGAAGTAAATCTAAACGTATCTTCATAAAACCTTTGTCTACTCACTCGCTCTAATCTTCAAATTGACTCTTTGTGGTGCAAACTGCACAATTTCCTCCAACGAAGTGTTTGAAGATGATGTGGGTCGATGCGTGTAGGATTCAGCAGGTATTGGAGATACACGCGGCCTCGACAAACTTTTATATTGTAAAATCATCAGCATATTATCCGGATTGTAACTATATTCTGGTGGACAGTAATTAGAATCTTCGCTAATTAAATGAAAGCATCTTGAGTTTCCACTGAAATCCTGTGTTTTTTTTAACCAAATTAATGTAAATTTTAGTTTAATTTTCGTTGTAAATTTACCGGCTTCGTGCACCAAGCACAAGACGGTTGTTGGATGCACTCACGGCAGGTGTTTTGGGAAGTGCACTGTAATTTCGACCAATCGTCCGAAAATTCTGCATTGATTGATCCCAGCCAAAGAAGTAACACCAGTTTCCAATTAGATTCCATTCTGTAAATTTCAAACAGATGATTAATATTGCTTTTTCTTGAAGGAAATCAAACGCCACAACTGATTATGATATAAACTCAGGCAAACAACAGTGAATATGCTGAGTATCACTTATCAAGTTATTTGCTTGTAAGCAAACGCGAGAAATATAAATAGTTCTTAGAATTTGCACAAAGAGGAATGCATTGATTTACAATTATTGTTAATGAAATAAGTAAATAACTGTGACGAATTAAATTGTGCTGATAACATGAAGACTTAGGTCAACAAAATATAAATATTTTTTGTTATCAATCTTCAGTTTTCATTAATTTAACAAATTTGCTGCAAAATATCTGATTTATATTATATAATTTGTAAAAAAAAAACTCACGTAATTATTATTTTTTATAGATACAATTATTTAATATTATTCAGTTTAACCGGATCAGAAAACATTGCGCTTTTGCAGTGATTTGCAATTACTACATACGTGTTCGAGATAAACCTTCGTTCATGTTCGTTATAAAATATGAAGACTTTAACAAACAGCAGTTGCCTATATTTTCGATAGTATTTCATTAAAACATGTTTAATTTTCTTTTTATTAAGAACAGTTTTAGTACGATTGAAATGTTCGTTTTCAATAAACATAATAAATATTTCAGAAGTTTAATAAATATGTGTACAAAATAGTTATGTATACTTTAGTTACATTATAAGTGCATTACTAGTTTAATTGACGTGATGCAATCTCATCATCCAGAGTATACTTTTCCGATCATCATTGTTTCTCTCTCTCTAGAAATAAATATTAATGTTAAGCTATAACAAATTAATTAGAAAAAAAAATACTTTAAAACTATATTTTCTTTGAGAAAATATCTGATTTCAATCAATATTTATAATAACATATTTAAATTCGATTGAATTCATGTAAATAAATTATAATTAAAAACTACAATAACATATGGATAATAATAAACAATCTTTTTTTTCCATAGATAAACGAGATTCTATAAAACATATTTTTGGACGGTTAAATTGCATTAGAGCTACGTTAATGTTTAATGAGTGAGTAATTAGAGTGAAGGTCTGGACGCCTGAAGTCTCCTGTAGTTTGCTCTCCTTGCTTCGACCAGAAAAAGTGTACCAGATGGCAGCAGAAGCAGTGAGCCAGTCGAGCCTAAGCCAAAAGATAATCCCAATTGGTTGTGCTCCCAATTTGGCATCCAATCCCTCCTGTCCCCATAGATCCCGAATATCAGTATTGCCACAAAGCCGCACAGTCCAGCTATTATCAGGTCAGCACCAATGCACATCAACAGTAGGATGTATTTGTCATGATCTCTACTGCAGAAACAATACAACCACGTTAAGAAGGCGGCAACTATCAGCAGCGTTATGCACAGTGTGAAGAAGAATTGGGTGGCCAAGAAGAATCCGGGCCAGAGAAAGTCCTGGATGATATAATATTCATCTTCGAACACCCACCAGCAGCCAGTGAATTTCTTATCATAATGATGATTGATATCCTCGAAATTGTTCAGGCACACCTCCCATAAACCTAAAATAGTAATCAATGTTTATTGTTGTTCAATATGAAAAGTGGTTAATATCGTACCTATTCTGATGAATTTTGGGTTTTCGAGTATCCCATCGTTTTCCAGCCAATAGGATGTGCAAAATGCAACTAAAACTAATATGAAACTAACTGTGGTGCAGGCGATAGCGCAAATTCCTGTGCGTGTTTTGATGGCCATCGTCGCCATATTACAACTATTCAGTTATGATTCATTTTTGAAAGGTGTATACAACACAACTAGCAGGTTATTCAAGCAATTAGGCGCATGCTCGCTTGTGCTTAATAGAAATTTAATTAACGCATACTAAATTGTATAATAAAAAGGAAATTTAATTGGTTTGCTTTAAATTCTTTATTCTGCATCGCTGTTCTCTTGCATACTAACATCAGCTTCCCTAAGAGTGCTAGCAGTCATGTCTGCATCCTCTTCCTCCTCCTCGTCTCCTTCCATCTCGAAAAGTATGACTTTCTTGCCATTCTCCGATAAAACAATGGAAACCCTTCTGGCGCCCGAAACTGCGAACTTGGAAGAGACCATTGAAATACTCTTAAGCGTGTGTTGGTTGTTCTGCAGGCCATCCACCTGCACTAGGTTTTGCGTGGCCACTTCTTCGCTCACGTCGATCTCCTGCAATCTTTCGCGAATCGTAGCGATCGAGCACTGATAAAGAACGGCGTGCTTGGTGCTGGGTTCTTGCAGCAGCAAGGACACGATGTTTTCATTGTAGAATTTCAAATCTGTTATGAAATACTTTGGGATTTTGACGAGCGCAGCTTTCGTAACAAACGTGACCGGATCAAATTCCAGCAAATAAAACGAATCGGTGTGATGGGTATCCGAGTTGAACGCAAAGAGTAACGATCCATTGCTGGCATTGATTTTTGAGACTAACGTCCATGAAGAGCTCGTGTTGCAGTTGATGCACTTGATCAGAGTTATATCGGCTGATATCAGGTCGTGAGGTTCATTGAAGATATCCATAAGCGCCTTTTCCAGATGCTTAAATTGCTGCAACAAAGACATCTCCTTGAAGTGTTTTATTACCGAAGGATGGGCCCGGATGCATTCGTTGTGCTGCAAAAAGTTGTCCCATTCGTTGTGTTCCATGTTTGGTAGAATATGCAGTGGACTATCCGCAAGATATTGTCCCAATCTCTCCATGATGAACCCAGTATTTTTCTCCGTTCCTCCGATCGTCGTGTTATTGTGCCCAGTAATATCATCAAAGTTCTTCAAGAAAGCGGTGATGTACGCCAAATCCTGTTGTGTCATCTTTGGAATTTCGTTCGGGACAGTCTCGTAAATAAGATGTATAATAGCCGTGTACAACCAACGGAAGAACGCTTTGTAATTGAGCATGGAATTGTTGATGATCTGCTGCATTTCGCCGCTCTTTATCAGAAAAGCGCCATTCGAAGCTATGGCTTCATTGATCTTCTTCTCATCCAATCCTAAAAGCTTATATCTATGTTCTAAACGCGCCATCCCTCTCAGCTCTCCCAAATGATAAGTGATATTTTGAGCCACTTTGGTGACGTTCTTGAGCAGCAACTTCTGGATGTTCACGTAACTCATCTCGATGCTTTGTCCGAACTTCTCCAAACCCTTCTTGGTTAAATCTTGCAGAAGGAAGCTCTGCATTAATTCGGAGCTGTTCCCGAACATCAACAGATCCAGAAAATCCGCAGACAACGTCCCAGTCGGCGTCTGCGATGCGAACTTTGCCAGCTTCGAATCCATCTCCAATAAGATATTCTCCCAAGCTTCCGTTATAGACGAGATCGCCTCTGATAAATACTCAACTAACACCTCAATCTGCTTGTACTTTATGGCGTAGTTGAATAACTCTTTGACGTGAGTGTTGAATATCTCCGAGTTGAGTACAAGAACCTTCGTCGACTGCTCGTTATCTTTCACAGTGATGTAAAGACGATCGAGGAGCTCTGAAAGGTAGAGGTCGACTATTTGGCAGGACTTTCCGACTCCGATTATTTCATTTACATTGAGGATGGCGCAGTAAAAGCAGCCGAAAATGCTCAAGTGAACGAAACCCTCGCTGGTGCCAATAGCCAGAAGATTTAATTCCTTTTGATTCTGGAAAAAGTTATCTGCTATAGTCTCATCTTGCCCTGAAGATGTGCTATATGTTGATAAACTTGGTGGGTTTGGCAAGAATATTGAGGATTGATCAATATGTTGTGTATATTTGTTGTGCTCCTCCTGTTCCATCAACAACCTCTTCTCAGCTGGATCCTTTTTCTTCTCCTGTGTCCAAGAGATATATGTGATCTCACCCTCCTTTATATCCAGTGTATGCAATGTAGTCTTATTCTCAACATTAATCAAGAGAACTTCCCCTAAAAGAAGTATTGAATTATACTATTACCTCAACAAATATTCTTTATTACCTGAATTGTAACCTATAGCTAATGTTTTTCCATCAGGTCTCCAAGCCATTGCCCTGACCAGCAAACCCTCCTTGGATGGTGGTAAAATCCATGCTCTTGTCCAAGTCAATCGGTGCAGTGAAACATCCCCTAAATAATACAACAGACTATAAAAAATTCTGCATTCTATTATATTTTTATTTACCCTTTATGTTGGAGAAAGCAACGAGGTCCATGCGGTCGCTCCATACCAAAATATCGATCTCATTTGCCACCTTTTTCTCCTCCAATTGCCTTATTATAGATAACATTTTAAAAAACTTGTTTACTGAGAGGATATCAAAATATTTCTAAGGTTATATTTTCAAACATACAGATGACAATTATATTGTATATACTACTTAATATACAGTATAACTAATTGCATACATACAATATAAAAAATTCAATTTTGATTAACTAAAGATCTAATAAAGATCTTTATAAACCTTTAGCCAATTAATGAAAAGAACATTAATGATAAAGGACACTTCTACTATTTCCTAACATTTTTTTTAAACATTTAAATTAATAAATTTTAGCAAACTTTACATTATATATTTAAAGCATGAATAAACTCTGTTTTGTAAAGCTTTCATGTATGAATGAATTAGGAAACAACACGTAATTGTTCAACCATAATTAATTAAGTGTACAGAGTTGTATTTGCAAAATTTTGTATAAATTAACATATTTTAATTTTGTGTTGCATATTTCTTAATGTTTTATGGTATAAACTGTTATTATGCATTTCAAATAAGAATGAATATTTTTCGTTTCAATTTAAAATTTAACACGGTTTATCAACAAGTCTTTACATCATATTATTTCGCTAATATAATTGAATTTATGTGCATGGTTTTCTAACCGCAATAAGAGTTTCTCTTTGTCACTTCACTTAATATTATCAATATTTATCATTTTTCCTAACAATTTATATTCATTACGGCTCTGATTTGCTACAAAAATGCACGCAATTAGTTTAACAATCTTGATTCATCAAATAAAACAAAAATCAATGCTTACTGTGATTTACGTGCGTTTTAGTTTTGATCAATACTTGAGTGAAGATGTTTTTTAGGAAATGTTTCGAATGGATTCGAACGTTTTTCAAGAATTCTTCTATACATGGTTACCATTATTTGGCGGATGAAGGTCTGCATTGGTCCGAGCGACTTTTCTGGCTTATCTGCATAATTTCCGCATCGGTAAAAAAATTATTTAAGCATAATTTTTCTTATATTAGAATAGTAACGTTTTAGACTGTTGGCACTTTCTGGATGATGGAAAGCACCGAAGAGTATGATGTAAATCCGGTCAGTTTGACTGTAGATACTTTGTATTTAGACTGGGAAAACGATTTTCCAACTATTGTTTTCTGCGAGAGAGCTCACGAAATCGATGAGGATCGCATGAATCGGTGATTTCAATTAAATATTGCAAAATCATGTTATTAAGTGTTTTTTTTTGTAGTTATGTGTTTGGAAGAGATAGTGTAATTGTTCGGGAAATAGTGTTTTTGGAAGGTGAGATGAGCACTGCTGTTAAATGCAACGATCCTAGCTTCGATCAAAGCCTTTGCATCATGAGTAATTTCAGTTACTACTCGAATTTGGTATTGAATCAATTTTAATAAAACAAATTTTATGAAACCTTTCATTTCGTAGTTGAGGAAATCTTGCTCAGAGATTTTCTCTTACTGCAGTTGGAACGATAAGGAATTCGAGTGTTGCGAGCGCTTTCTACCGATGTACACCTTCTACGGGAAATGCTTCGCCATCAATTCAATAGCTTCTGAGTTATGACTAAATTTACGCAATGATAGATCTATCTTATGTTACATGATTTTCAGGCCGCCTACCGAGAAGATGCTTTCGTTTAAGTTTAAAGATTCGCCTAAGTTAACAGTCGAGATCAAGACAACCCTACTGTCAACGTCAACTTTGACAGCTGAAGACGTGATATCTCCCAGGGAAACGCTGTACGGAAGCATATTCGAAGGCTTCAATAAAATGATCGACCCTGACATGGAATTCGATGTCAACATAAGATTTCAGAACACCATCAACGATGACAGGGTTAAAACTATTCCACCAGACGTCAGAGGATGCATGTTTCCAGAAGAAAGCCAATTGATGTACTCGAAAGTCTTCAGTTATCCGGCCTGCGTTATTGATCATATCGGGACGTATCAGATGAAGACTTGCGGTTGTACCCAATACCTAATGCCAGTTGCAGCCCGTAAGTTCCAATAAATTTATCCTGCCATTAACTATCATCAGCACCAAAATAACTCTTCTAAAACTTCTTTATAATTAATACAATTTTAAATGTCACATAATGACAGTGACAGTTAATGATTGGTATAACTACAGAGTAATGATGGATTTTTAGGTGAAAAGCACATGTGCAATAACATGTCTTCTCTGGTCTGCTTGGCCCAATCCATTACGCAATTGGTGAGCGAGGCAAGCCGAGATAAATGTCCGGCATCTTGCGTGGAATCCGAGATACGCGTCCTGTCAACATTGAAGCGCAATGTCACGTAAATAATTAATCATTTGTTTCCAAATTGTCATATCACTTCGACAGATGTCAAAAATGAGGATTTTGTGTTATTTAAGAGTTTACAACGGCAAAGATTCGGTGTCCAAGATCAACTTCTACACGCATCCGCCGACGTTGCGTTATTACCGGAAGGTGCGAAGAGATGACATCGAATTGATAGGTGCGCTTCGTCCTTCAGAAAACCAATTTTGTGTTTGTGCAAATCTAGTAAACGTGATTTCCGTTTTGCAGTGAATATTGGTGGAATAGGAACGCTGTTTTTCGGCGCGAGCGTCCTATCGCTGGTCGAGATCATCTATTACTTGCTCATTTATCCTTGCAGCACGACCACCGAGAAGAAGGCCAATAAGAAGCCTGGGAACGAGGAGAGGAGGAAGATGAAGAAGGTCGAAGACAAGAGATCGGCTCCCACGATTCCCGGCCACAACATCTACAATTTCGACAATTTCGAGATCCGCAATCGACTCACACACCGCACACCTCTACCATACATCAATTAGGAAATATTCGTGCAAAAAAAAGGAAAGACAACGATGACCATCGTTTATTTCGCGTTTGCTTTAGATTAGAAATTTTAAAACTTTCTTCCATTTTTCCTCTCTATTTCATCTAGAATGTGATTTTTTTTTATAATTCGAGAAATTCTTCTTCATCCACGCTACAAGACTAATTAATACCACAATATAATGCACTTAAATACCAAGCAATTAAATGCTTCCAGTTTTTTTTATTATCCTTTCGTTCTTTCTAAACACTTTGTTTCTTTCTTATTATTATTAATATATTTTTCTTGCATTTGGTTAATTGTAATTGGAAAACAATGCCCGGCCTCGTCACTAATTCCATGCTTGTCCTCTCCCATCATGAGATGTGACACATCAATCATACCGAAGGCCTACGGAATCGCATCCACTCGTTCCTGAAAATATCGCCGTACCAATTCATCTGCGCAGGAAATATGGAGAGAATCTGGTTTCTTCAGTTTAATCCGTTGCACAATGCTGGGATTGTGAATTGGGCCAAGCGCTTGATCAAAATAAGAACCAAGAATAATAAAAAATAACTACAACTAAAAGCAATAGAAACAACAATAACAGCAGTGACTTCTCCCACGGAGAAAGAAAGAGAGACGTTTGCACAATTGTTATTAACAGACAATGGCTATAAAACACATTAAATAAGTAAATTGCAACGTATTAGTTCTTGTAATTAGAAACGAAAAAGAGAAGAAGAAAAAAAAAATGTAGATAATAATACAAAGCTAATAAGATAATCTTAATTTATTTTTGCATTAGGAAAGACCTCTGCCTCGAAACATGATGCACTAATCCGCATTATGTAAACTCGAATCCGGCAATCCGTCAAAAACTCTCCTCAAATGAGCTCATGTTCATTTCATCATCATCACAATTGCATTAATTTGTACCTACGTAAACACATACCTAATAATGATTTATACAATTGATATTTAGTAAACTTACCATTACACATTTTATACTTTTAAATGTCAATGGATATTTAATTGATTTAATAAAGTTAACATTAAAATTTTTAGATCAAAAATCATCATTTTATTTCAATGTTAAATTTGCAAAATTAACTGAATATATTTGTGGAAAAAAATAACTTGTTAAATGAGATTACCATATTTACTACATCAGTTTATAAATCAGTTTATAAGATTAAATTTAGAAGTAAACTACACATAAAAATTCATGAATAATGGACGAAGTCACCTTCCCCAAACAAAATTTTCATATGGATTATTTATGGAATGTAGCGATCCATTTGTTTCCAAAAGATCCATATGAAAGCTGGATGATTGGAGAATATATCAAGTATTCATACAATTCTGTGGTTTCATCTTATTGGCTGTAATTCGCCTTCAAATTTGAGAAAAAACTTTACGTTCGAAAAAGCAGTGTCTTTATATTATTGTGATTTTCTCTGAAACTATAGTAGATTGAATGGATACAAAAGATTCTTATGAAAGCTGGATGATTGGGGAATAAATCGTGTATTCACACATTTCTGTAGTTTCATCTATTTGGCTGTAATTCGCGTTCAAATGTGATAAAATGAAACTTTACGTTCGAAAAAGTAGTGTCTTCATATATAGTGATTTTCTCTGAAAGTATAGTAGATTGAATGAATACAAAAGATGCTTATGAAAGCTGGATGTTTGGGGAATGTATCGAGTTATCATACATTTCTGTGCTTTCATCTATTTGGCTGTAATTCGCATTCAAAAATGAGAAATTAACGCTCAAAAAGTACAATCGCTTTTTCAATATTAACATTAGTACTACTAAATGTTATTTTCTCAAAAAATGTACTTTATTTCAAAATTTGCAATTGAAACACTGTTTCAAAATATTTTCTTATAATTTATATACAATTTATAGAATAATACTCGATTGTGTTCGATCATAATTGAAAGCTAAATCTCGAACGTACGTACGTACAATGAAATCTAGTTACGCTCCATTTACATAAGACTCTGCAGGTGTTTACAATCGTTTTCACGCAGTGAATGAAACAACTTGTAAATATAGACTTGAAATAATTATTATAAATTTATGAACATTTAGTTTTATTAGTTCAATTCTATTTTTTGTTTTGTTTTTATATTTAAGGAATGTTGTTGACGCAACTTTTACAAATTTATTTATAAACAAACTTGAAATTTATTAGTCAAAAGTTTAAATCTATTTTTGATTGTTTTGAATTTTAGGAATGTCGTTGAAGTATCTTTCAAATATCTTTAGAATCTTTAGAATTAGTATATAGTAATCATCTTAAGTCAATTATAATTAGTATATACTAATCATTTTAAGTCAATTATAATTAGTATATAGTTATCATCTTAAGTCAATTAGAATTAGTATATAGTGATCATCTTAAGTTAATTAGAATTAGTCTAAATCATTAAAATAGATGAAATATTTAATAATTAAAAATATATAGTTATAATCTTAAGTCTATTAGAATTAGTATATAGTAATCATCTTAAGTTAATTAGAATTAGTATATAGTAATAATCTTAAGTCAATTAGAATTAGTATATAGTAATAATCTTAAGTTAATTATAATTAGTATATAGTAATCATCTTAAGTCTATTAGATTTAGTAAATAGTTATCATCTTAAGTTAATTAGAATTAGTATATAGTAATCATCTTAAGTTAATTATAATTAGTATATAGTTATCATCATTAAAGTAGATGAAACTGTTAATAATTAAACATATTTATAATCCAAATTATGAAAAACGTTAAGTCAAGTAGAATTAGTATATAGTAATCATCTTAAGTCAATTAGAATTTGTATATATCATCTTAAGTCAGTTAGAATTAATATATAGTTACCATCTTAAGTCAATAAGAATTAGTATGTAGTAATCATCTTAAGTTAATTATAATTGTAATCATAATTAAACTAGAGAATTTATGATTTTTACATAAGCCAATAAATTTAATTTTTCAAAATAGAAATTGGTAAAAATCCGAGGTGTTCCCCGAGGCAGTCTACTGTGTCCACTAAAAAGGTTATGATGCAGATTTTTATCATCAAAAGAAAAAGTTGCGTTGGTAAATAATAAGAGTTACCATAACACGTTTACAATTTATTCCTAAACTAGAGGATTCTTTTTAACGATCTATTCCGTAACCCTAATTGAAATTCGAGGAAGTGACCAGTATCAATGCAAATCGTACCTAAACATATACAATTTTTTTTTCTTTGGCATATTCTCTATTTCCATACTGGTAACTCGGACGTGATACAATTTCTTCATCGATCAACTTAATTTTCGTTGTTCTTCTTCTTTCGAATGACAAATGTATGCGCGTTCATGCCGAAAGAACTTCATCTTATGTACCAAGAATACGTATTATATCATCCGCATCTTGCGTCCTTTTTTTTTTGTTGTTCGTATGTATTTGTTTAAATTGTAATGTGTGTGTTGGTGAGGTGCGGCCGGATAAATAGACTTTCGAAGCGGATCGGACGACCAATCGGTGCGACGCTCAAGACTCTCCGGGACCGTTTTTTTTCGATCAAAAGAGCTGGTAACTCTCTTCCATCGGCCAGTCAGCGACAGCGCCAGCAAACGCGCACCGAAAACAACATCGCAGCAAAACTTAATTTTTTTGTTTCATCAAAGTTTTCCGAATTAGAAGAAAAAAAAAACAACAAAACTTTGACTGACATATTTTTCTGATCATCATGGACAGTGAGCTTAAGTGTTTTTGGATGGCTTTTGCCTTCGCCTGTATCTTAGGTGAGTAAACAAATGAAAAACATTTTTTTTTTGTTAATCAACATCCATGGTTACGCAAATAATTGCATTACTATTGATTAAAACAATTTATAAATTGAAATAAAAACTATAGGATTCTTGATTTTTTTAAAGAAAATTTACATCAAATTAATTACTTTAAAAAAAATTAATATTAGATAATGGAAATTTAAAACATTCAAAATATTAATTAAAACCAGAAGTAATTAATTAATTGAATAAACAAAAGAAAATCTAATTTAGTAATGCGGTATTCCACAAGGCAGTATTCTAAGTCCTACATAATACCAACAATAATTACAACAATTATTATATAATATTGATGATTAAATTAGAAATAAAACTTATAATTGATCCATTATTAATGGAAAGTTTCCATTTTAATCTGAATTAAACATATAAACAAAACTATTTTGATAAATTGAATTTATACAAAATAATTTTTTACTTTAGAAAATTAATAGAACAAATTAATTTGCATGGCAAACTTACGTGTAATTAAATAAGCATTATTACTGTGTGTTCATTCATGTCGCAAGGTCAATTTCTTCGATCGACGCACAAATCGTACACATCTAGTAATAAATATAAATAAAGTTATTATGGAAATGTACTGTAAATAATTATGTAGTAAACAAAATACTAGTAATAATTGCATTAGATAATTGTTATTTCGTAATTACAATCTATTGGTTTTTATCAAATTGATACGAGAAAATAGGAAAAAAATTAAATTTTACGATGAATATTTCAAATAACAAAATTATCTGTGAGTAATATGAATAATGCGTCGTTCATGATTTAATTTATTGTAATAATAAAGCGTTATATGAAAGTCGGCTTTGCTCACTTTCGAACTAATTAATGTACAGTTTTGTTGCGATTTTGCTAAGAATGGACACGCAGTTGGATTAGAGAAAAAATAGGAATGAAGTGTGCATAATTAATAATAATTATTGTTCCTTGTTGTATCGTATGATTATGAGATCGAAGGATTTATTCGTTTCCATTGATTTCCAAAGCGTTTTCGCGTCCAGTTCCTAATTGCCGTCCACTTTCTATTATAAACTCTTTCGATTCGGCATTGAAATATTGCATTCCGATGATCGGATAAGAAAAAAACAATAACAAATTTAACTTACAAACTCGTTACTTTAGTCGTCTAATGCGTTTGCTTCATTAACGACGACACAAATTTGTGGACTTTTCCACAAATAAATCGAAAGGATTTGTGAAATTATGCTTTATAATTTATTTGTGTAATGAGTACTTGGGTTGTTGAAATAAAACAATTTTCGGATAATTCAATAAATTTTTGTTATTGGAATTATGTAAATGTATGCAACTAAGTCAAAGTAACGTTTATTATAATCAATTTGTGCAATGGGTACTTTCGTAATCTATATTTATGCTCAAATACATTTTAGATTATGTAAAACTGAAATATTGTAATTGAATTTAGAGAAGATACATTTTGCGAAAGTTTTAAAAGTTTCGAGTTAATATTATGTTTATTACTAACTAAATAAGGTGTATGAATAGGAAAAATCTTATTTCTTTCACAAGATAACTGCTTTTATAATGTGAGTGGCATATGGATGGTAAATGAAAAGTCGGAGAAACTTCAACTTCCGTTGTTTTCTATATATGAAATTAGCAATCATCAAAGCAAAGAAGATGGAATTGCCATCATGTTGATGGTGCCATGAAAGCATTGCTTTTTTTGTTTGTAAGCGAGAGAAGGAATTTCCAATTGAAAGGGAACATTTTTGCATGGACGTGTGTGTGTGTATATAAATATAAATTTTGTTTGCGCTTGGAGCGCTCGACAAACCCGAGATTATCGAATCCAGTTTCGAAACACTTTCTCTGTGGACGGCAGCCACAGCAGCAACCAACACTTTCTCTCCACATAATCCTCTAATTGGCGACGACGAGAGACGATTCTTCACAAATAAATAAATAACAAACAAAAAAAAACATTTCCATCCGTTTGCGAAAAATGATGAATGAACGAAACATAGAAGAATTTCACTTTTCACACGTTCCTTATTCCTCTCGATTAAGGTTTACGTTCCAAGGTAAAATACATTAAGATGTATTTTTATTATACACGAATAACAACCAGAATGAAAAGAAACCCGTCGCTTTGGGAACCAAAACAATAACATAATTAACGTTTTGTATTATTTCTCCTTTTTTTTTCGTTGTCGTCTCAATTCGAGACTTTTGTTGTTTCACTTGCGAATTAATTATTTCCGATGCATGGGAAAACGGTTTTGCAACGTTCGAACGATCCTAAAACGGGCGACAATGCGAAATATTCAAATTTTTACTGTTACGTAACCCTCGGTACGTGTTGGCCAACTTCAACGCTATTTGCATGTTAAATTCCATGCAGCACACTCTTTTTTTTGTGTGTTTTACTTTTAGAATATAACTGTCACTTATTTGACAGTTATCACAATTGAATTGTGTCATAATCAGCTGTGATACCTTAGTTTCTATAAATAATTTGATAAATTATATACCTACAGTTTTTACTTTTTCATATCAGTAACAAACACATATTTATTCATTACAAAAGTAACCAAATCAACCCATTTTTCAGACTTCACAATTTATATTTTTCATATTCTAAGTTAACATCTGTCAGCTGTCAACTTAGAATCTAACTGTCACTTAATTGACAGTTATCATAATTGAATTAAACAATCCTTAATTTGTATGACCAACTTGATATAATAAATAAGTAACCATGCAAAACTAAATATAGGTGAAATTTTCTACTTTTTCTAAGTATTCACTTCAGTAACATTATTTCAGTTTATTTATTATAAAAGTCAGTGAAAGAACTGAATTTTCAAGACTTCACAATTAATATTTTTCATTTATAATACTTCTATAGAACCAACTGTAACATCAATTTCACTTCTAAGAATCAAAGTTGACATCTGACATATGTCAAAAGTATTTGAAAAACTTACCAAATAGAAGATTCCTTGCATATTCTCTTAGTTCTTTTGGTTTGTTTTACTTTTATAATCTAATGTCATTTAATTGACAATTATCATAATTGAATTTAAACAATCTGCTGTGATTTCTTAATTTGTATGAGAAACTTGATAAAAAGTGAAATTTCTTACTTTTTCTAAGTATTCACTTCAGTAAAAAACACAGATTTTTCATTATAAAAGTCAGTAAAAGAACCGAGTTTTCAAAACTTCACAATTTATATTTCTCATTTATAATACTTCTATAGAACCAACTGTAACTTCTATTTCACTTCTAAGAATCAAAGTTGACACCTGACATATGTCAAAAATATTTGAAAAACTTACCAAATAGAAGAATCCTTACATATTCTCTTAGTTCTTTTTGTTTCTTTTACTTTTATAATC